GCCACGCAGTGCGTCGTTAAGACGTAACCACCGCCGTTTCGCTAACCCGCAGGTCAACGAAATCCTGTCGAGAACGAGGTTAGGCTTAACCAGTCGTAATCGTTACAGAAACAATTGTTCGCTAGTGTCCGCTGTAAGACAATAGCCAAGATACATCTGATACCATTCAAGGATTTCCCGATCGTCATTGAAACAATCAAGAAGAAACTTTGAAAAGCGGCTATCTTGTGTTGCCAAGCCGCGATAGCAGACTTTTGACGATCGTGAGCATAATTGGGATGGATGGAACGGGAGAAGTTTTCCACACGTGGTATCCAGCACCCCATTGGCGGTAGCAAACAGATTGGGGTGTGCAAGATCCATTTGAGTATGAAGCTCGTCTTGTACTTGGAGCAGATTTAATACATATTCAAGACAAACTCGGACCTCAGAGCCTCGAGTAAGGTCAACCATTTCGTTCTTTGTGGGGTACGGAAAGTCGGCAGAAACAGATTTCCAGCATTGTTGAACAAGCTCCTTCTGATCATCCGATCGCGGATTTAAAGCCCAATCTGGTAAGTTTGAGTCGTTGATCACTCCCCATTTTGATTCATCACCGGCTGCATGAAGAAATTCTTTCTTGAACGCCATGGTTCGTAAATTTTGATACCATTTCAGAATCCGTGACATGTGGCTCGAAAACACGCATTGAATCTGGAATGAAGAGTCGACAAGCCATCGAGTTCCATTCCAGGACAAGAAGCTCTTTCTTTCAGCCAAAATTCGCCCATCGACGAGGTAGAGTGTACTAAAGATAGTTGCCAAGCCTCTATATCGATCCATGATATTTTTTCTGACGAGATCCAAATGGACTCGTATTATTGAATCGGAGAGTTCTCGATTGTTATCAGGAAATACGCTCTTGTCAAATGTTGGGTGCAATCTAGCTGGATTTGCATCTAATAACGCGTCGGCAAGGCTGAGGGAGCCTAAATACACTGGACTTTCTTGTGCGAGCATTCTAATCCAAAGCACCGGTATAATACTATCCATCCTTTTTTGATCAGCCTAGTCAGATTATTGGATCCATTATGTTGATGCCTATGTATGCATTTTCGCGGACCTTCGCATATGAAGGAGTAAAAAGTTCCGTACGGGCCGTGAGATGATATATTGCCGGAAAAACGAACGTTTTCATGCAGCTCACGGTTTCTGAGCAGGGTCATCATGGCTTCGGCAATCTTATGTTCGCTTGACTTGGCCTTCGACATGCTCATCGGCTCATCTTCTTCATTTTGATCATCACATGGAGCAATCTTGAACACTGTGTTTTGATCAGTAATAATCATTTCCATTGCATGATCAACGCTTACTTTCGGTGCTAACTGACCAGCACCTTTTGTGCATCGATTGATAAGGTCAATTACCCAAGCTGGAGCTGCTTTTATTGCTTGTCTAACAGGATTTCCATTCCATGTGTATCTGCAATTGGGGCCTAGGGTGCTTGGCGGTGCAAAAGCAATACCACCCTCACCTCGACCGTCAATTCCATAGACTTGTCCATTGTAGTCAAGGCCTTTGAAGCATTTATTTGAAACAAGACCATTCTTGATTGTCTCTTCCAAATCGAAGTAGTAATGAAGCCCACCGCTGCATGTAGACGCTGATAACGTGTCGGGCTCGCCATGCTCACGTATAAGCTCGTTCCATAAATTGAGACCTGCTTCTATGTCTTCATCGATTTTGTCATGGACATCAACATCAAAAACAAATACGTTACTAAGTGGCCCGCATTTGATTGCAAGAAAGTTGTATTTTTCCTTTTCGATATATTGAAGGATACGATTTCTTGAAGCATGCCATTCGGCGGGCGTACGAATTGCTGTGTCCATTTTGGAGTGCGGCATCGTCCGTTTTACATCTTTTGAGCCGTTATTGTTGAGAGAAACTAAAGCAGGTATGGCAAAAAGTCCCTGCTTTGCATACTCATCCAACGCTTGAATGAGGTGAGAAACCATATTCGAAAGACCGTCGAGACGCCACCTTAGTTTCTATGCTAGAAATTTTTTTGGAGACAATGTAAACGCAAATTGGATTTTAGCCAGAGATACAATTGTATGCAAACTTTGAATCAGCCAAACAAGCATCTATACAACACAAGGAAGAGTGGACATCTCAAACTCTCTTAACCTAGAGGTGATTCGATCACGAGTTTTAACACCAATTTGGGTACCGCTTTCGGCTCGTTCAGGAGCCCTCTTCAATAGTATCTTCTCTTTATTGAGTCTGTAGTATTCGTTGGCATACAGACGACGTTTTTTCCGGGATGTCTCTAAGCACGTTACACAGTGAAGACACGATGACAATGTTGTATCGATCATCTCATGTGAAGCTTCCAGATCCGAGTTGCGCTGGTCCTCTCTTTTTGACATGATGGTAGTACGGATTACACAGGCAAGCCTTAATTTTAGAGTTAGAAATTATATGGAAGTTTGGACGTGGGGCATGCTGCAGGTTGGAACCTCGAGTGTATTGTAACTACGTGCACGTGATGCAGCATTTGACAACTTGGAGGCAGATTAGGGGGCCGAAGACTACAATCCCAGAAGACCTCGTCTGGGCAATATTGTGATTATAGCTTTTGAAATTACAAAAATCTGAAATGAAAACTTTACAAAAATGTGGTCTTTTGGCTTTTCGGTCTTCGTCCAGAACAATTGCTACATTCGATAGCTTGGAGCTAGATTGGGTGTGGCCGAAGACCAAAATCCCAGAAGACCTCGTCTGGGCAATATTGTGATTATAGCTTTTGGATTTACAAAAATCTGAAATGAAAACTTTACAAAAATGTGGTCTTTTGGCTTTTCGGTCTTCGTCCAGAACAATTGCTACATTCGATAGCTTGGAGCTAGATTGGGTGTGGCCGAAGACTAAAAAGCCAAAAGACCCCGTCTGGGCAATATTGCAGTTATAGCTTTTTAATCCCCAAAAATTTGAAAAGAAAACTTTATAGGATTGTGGTCTTTTGGCTTTCTGGTCTCCGGTTGAAATAGTTGCTGGTAATGTGCCTTATTTCACACAGGACGAGAACATAGAAAAAAAGAAAATTCACATACTGTCTTCTTTTGTCTGCGAACGGATTGCCTCAGAAATCACTCTACAATCTTTTGCAACACTCTACAACATAAGAAGCCAATGCCGTATGGCTGGTTGCCACCTGTCAACTCTGCCAGCTATCCGCAGTTTTGCGTCATCAACTCTAGCAAGCTCGGTGTTTCGCCCGCTGATAAGATTAGCTAGTATAATTAGAAAAGCAGTAAGGCTACTGTACCATGCTAACGTCCTAAATTTGACCAGAAACGAGTTGCAGCTCTCCACAGCCGAGGTGTTCACCCATCGAACGGAGTCGTAGTAATCTGCACAGACAGCACTAAGATGCTCAATATGGCATTAGATCTTTCACCGCTGACAAATCAATTGCTATTTACTGAATAAGATCCATGCAGATTCCCTTGTACTCGAGATCAGTAGCTGCTACAAACAGAGTTTACCTGGATTAAAACTTGGACCGCACTTGTGAGCCTCCGCTGAAGTCCGCTGGAAGTGGAACCTGCAAAAAAGCAATTTGTAGCGCTGTGAGCAGAAAAGGATGGGGCTAAAGTGATCTGTCGGTCACCGTTGCAAGACACTTTTCGACCTCAGATTGATTGCGTAGTAACAACGAGTACGTGATGGCCGAAATCTGCACTTCCAATCAATCACTCTCTGCAAATATCGTCAATGGATGGCAGATCTTGACCGGTCAGTCTAGGAAACTCACCGATCGACGATAAAGCGCACATCAGCAAAATGCACTGGCTCTCTGCGCATACAGTAGGCCTGGAGTTTGCAACTGTTGTCGTAGATCAGGTATCGGGGCAGGTCACGGCGGTGGAGCCGCGTGTACAGCACGGCAAACGGGTCTCTCGGTGACTCTCCCCGAAGCATAATGTGCCAGCCATATATAACGCGATGCGGACAGCAAAAGACGAATCCCCCCTTCGTGTGCTGCCGAAGCCTCTTTGCCGATTTCAGCGTACTCTTGGACGCTAGCTCAGCGTCGTACTCACCGATGGTTAGCCCGCTCCGGCACCGGTGCTCCTCCTGCCGCTCAACCGAACGGCCCAGCTCATCTTCAAAAGGCTGATACCTCGGGAGCGGCCGCTTCTGCTCCCAGCCCGGCAATGGGTAGCTTCCCAGCTCTCGCTGTTCGCGGCCATACGAATGGTCCGGAGGAAGTGGCAAAGGGTCCGAGCCGTCAAGGCCAAGACCCAGTCTCTCGTTGAGAATGCTCAGCTCGGCGGGGAGCAGAGCATAGTGCTCTGGCGGCTTGAGGCTTTCTACTTCCGGGAGCAGAGCGTTGGCTCGTGTCTTCCAGAACTGGAACGCTTGCTGTTGCGCCGCGCTGAAAGGCGTACCAGCGATCCTGCTTGCACGCAGCATTGATACGCACACGTCCAAGCCCTCGATGGCTGAATGCGCCCACCCCGCCCGTCCGACCCCCAGCCCCACTGCGCCTCGCCCAAAGAGAGTGAGTCTGTATAGATGATGGAGAGAGGGGAGAAAGAAGGGGGGGAACCTGTCCCTGTAGTGGTCAAGAATACGGCGAAGGATAGGGGAATGCTCAGCTAGCACGACCCTGTCGGCGTCGTCTACTGCCCCGCCAAGAAGCAACTTCCGGACCACAGCGAGCGCTTGCCTATGTTGAATGAGGTTCGAATCGTCCGAGACGGTGAGCGGTGCGCCCAGGCCGTACAGCAGCTCCGACCACTTGACCGGACAACGAGGTGGCCAGCGCGCCTCCTCTAGCATTGCTTCCCTCTCGATCCCATCAAGCAGCTCCAGCACAGCCTTGTTTTTCGAGCGCAGCTGTCCAACTTGGTCCAACGGAACGCGCCTCCGCCAGTGAAGCAGAACAGGGTCCGCATCGGCCTCGTCCGGATTGGAGACGAACTCGGTCACGACTTGGACGTCGTCGCGATCGAGAGCAACCTGTTCAAAGAGAATTCATGAGATGAAGATTCTAAAAACTTGAATCCAACTTGGGTGCTGCACGTGGCCAGCTTGCAACTTCATCAAACCTAAGCTAGATGCAATTCAGTGAGCGCAAGAGGTCAACCATGATGTCAGCAGAGTACCTACTTGCCAAAAGCAAGCAAAGATGTTCAAAGAGCTCATGATGTATCTTAACATACTCACCAGCAGCTCGCCATATTCCGGAGGGCTCAAACGCTTGCCCAACTCGGGGTCGTTGGGGTGATGACCACTGTAGCGCGCCAGTAGTGACCGCAACTCGGGTTGATGCACCAGACGGCGCTTCATTCCTGCCCCACCCAACGACGCTGCGCAGAAGTTGACCCCAGCAACCATGGCCTTCTCCACGACAGCACCGGTGAAATCTCGAGCGGGCGCCGTGAAAGGCCGCAGCTTTGCAGCTTGCGTCCCTGCCAGACCGCCCTTTTGCTTGCCCCCATCCGCGCAGGCGAGCCCAGCAATTCCGTCACAGAGGAGTACCTACAGAAGTGGGTTTTCAATCCATCATTACAAGCTTATGTAAGCCTGCAAAGGACAAGCAACAAGCTCATTCACTTTGCGGCTTCAAAAGGAGTGCACAAGCTCAACAGACTTGATCATTTCCCTCAAAGACTTTCATCAATTGCTAACTCTATCACTTACTGGCTTACCATGGGGTGTGGGCCACACAAGCTACATGCTTCCAGGATCGATTGCCCACACAGCTTGAAGAAGTCAAGGCTTGCTTGGCGCCATGACTCCTCTGACAGGACCACTGCATCTGGCTTGAAGAGCCGTCGAGTCTGATTGGCAGCTGTGATATGTCCACCAAAGGCCCCCCCGGTCTGCACCGCACGGAGCAGCATTTGGCAGGCAGTCTGTGTGACGATGATTCCTCGAGTCCAAGCATACAGACCGAGATGCTCGCCGTTGAAATGCACGGTATGTTTAGCCGGGCAAGCGCAACAGTAGATGCGGACCTTGACCTGCAGGGAGAAGAAGTTCATTCTGTTAGTGATTATGACTCTGCACAATGGCAAAAAGCTCGAAATGTTGTTGCAACAAACGCCGGCTTGTCTTTGCACCGCAAATGGAGAAGACCAACATCCCTTTGGGAAACCAACGGTGTGCAGTACGATGACAATCTTTTACCAACAAAATCAAACCCACCTCTTGCGACCACTCCAGTGAGAAGATGTAACCTGACTGCCATAGCCCGGTCCAGCGCGTCTCGCAAGATGGAGCTGCTCTGGGACACGGCGCCGACAAAAACTGCCCCGCGCTCAGCTCTGCAAAGTCTCTGTTGGCAAGCTCGCTCACCCTGATGGGATCACGCAGCGCCTGGACCATGGGGTCATGGACGTCCCAGGTATCTGTCGGGCGGGCCAACTTAGGAACCTCGAGCTGCACGCCCTTGGCCTCCATCGGAAGTACCGGCGCAGTCTGACCAGAAACGCCATGAGGACATGCGCTGGAGGGGCACGTGCAGCAGCTGCAAACCGGAACTTGTAACGGCTCACTGGTCCCGCTCACTCCCACCCCCCCCAACTCTTCGCGCTCTCCGCTCACTGCCGCCCCCCGAACCCTTCGCGCACTCCGCTCACCGCCGCCCCTCCAACCCCTTCGTGCACCCCACTCACCGCCGGCCCCCCAACCCCTTCGCGCCTTCCGCTCACCGCTAACGCCCCGTTCCCCTCGCACCCTCCGCTCACCGCTGACGCCCCGTTCTCCTTGCGCCCTCCGCTCACCGCCGCTCCGCCGGGCTTTTCATTGCGGACTCCACCAAAGGCAACCTTATCAATGCCTCCGGCTGCGGCTTGTTCCCTGGCTGCCCAATACGCCTTGGACCGTCTCTTTTCTCTAGCTTCTTCAGCAGCAGCCTCCGCCTGCTCTAGATTCCGGCCTCTCTTCCTGTCCGCTGCTGCCAAAGAGCTACAACATCTTGCAGCGCAGGGAGCCGCACCCGCCCGTTGGCCAGATTTGTCGAACACCTGCGGCGACAGCTTGCAAAAACAGCTGTCCCCTTTGCAAGCAGCTTCCTGGTGGCTCCCAACACCGAGCTCCGCAAGACAGCGAGCAATCCCCGGACCATCCGCCTCCAGCTCGCCCTCAGCCACTTCCAAAGTCTTCAGGTTGCAGCTGAGCACAACATTGGCTCGTTCCAGCTGTTCCACTGTGAACGACCTGTTGACGGGTCTGTGCAGGCCTTCTGGGCGCTCCAGAGCACGCTTGACCTCCAGTATGTGGGAGCAGTCAGCTGTTTTACTGCACCCGCTCTGTCTCCCCTTGCAGTACCACGGGAACTCTTCAGCGGCGCTGTAGTGCACCATCGTCCGATGAGGCGAGGGGGACCCTGCATTCCAGTAGACCCCCCACACTCTCTCACCCGCCCCTTCGCACGGCACTTCTGACACCCGCGGGCCTCGCTGCAGGGAGATGTGGCTTGCCCGTCTTGGCACCTCCAACGCTTGAAGCGCAAGCTTGTGAACGCATGGCGCCTCAAAGTACAGCCGCCCCCGATCGCAGCTGCAGGTTGCGTTGCCCATGGTGTCCCAGTACACCGTTTCTGGCAAGGCTCGTGCCTTGCTAGGGCGCCCAACAGCCTTTGCTGTGCCTGTGTTGTGGTTCCAGGGAGTTGCCAGATACACTGTGCTGGCAGAGTTCTGCTCGCCGACACTAAAGAAAGCGATCTGCCCTGAGCTAATGCCGGCAACAAAATGTGCCGCCTGAGCTGCAAGGGTCCGGGGGGCGGTGACACTTGAGGAGTTTGGTGCTGAGGCATCGCTATGCTGGTTCTGCACATGTGAAAAAGACGAATACAGTCAACTTCAAAACTTGTTGCTGCAGATAACAGCTTTGATATGCTTCAGAGGATCTGGGGTGAGCCATGAGAACGGAAAATCTACAAGCTGCAACAATGTTTCAAATTCAGATAAAGTCAGACCGAGTGAAATTCCTTCAATGTACTTAACCCCGTCTCAATGTGCAAGGTCACTGCTGGACAATCTATCTTTGAATTTGAATCTGGATTAAAGTACATGCTCAGTTTCTCACTGGCTGGATTGGAGCCTTGCGCGGAATCTCGCCAGCATGGCGGCCTCTGTTCACCGCTGTTTCCGCTGCAGTTGCGCTGCAACGCCCGCTGAATTCATGTCGCGCTTCTTCCTCCTTCACCTGTAGGGCAACAATCTCCTCTCCCAGCAGTGACTTCTGCTGCCTCCAAGCATCCGCAGGCAACGAGCGCTCAAACCAGACCTGCGCTGACTCTTCTGTAACAGAAACCGTCAAACTGGTTACTGTGACGCAGCCAATGTGGCGTTTGACGCACTCGAGGCAGAGAGCTTGCTGCTTCCGCTGACCTTTTGCCATTGATTCTAAAGCAGTGACCACAAAACCTTTCACCGTTTGACTTTTTCGGAAGGAGATTTGAGTATAAGCCCTTGCTTCTTTGCGATCAGTGTTTGCTTGCACAGGGTGCACTTGGAAACAAGGGAGTCGGAGATCAACCGTGGATCTACTACAATCCTTCCTGCACTCAGCTCTTGTAGGGTTGTGGGGTGCAGTGCTCGGAGAACCTCAGGCTCAGTCTCTCCCCCCCTCTGAACACTGGCACTGGCCCCGGCAGGCTGCATTTCGCTAAGCAAGCCAGAGTCAAAGCAGGCCCCGGCTGATCTTCCGCTGGTCCTCAGGCTCTGGTCCGAGTCGGTTGGTTGTGTTGGATGGTTGCTGACTTATGTTGGAACTTGGAAATGAGGAAGGAGAAATGCGAATGGAAGTCTTGAAAGAATGTTTCGCCTTATATATCAACTTTTCTGGACCGGTCACTGATGGAGTCTAAGCGGGCCCCTCAATGGTCTTAAAACCGATTCACCGGTCATATTTCTTCTTATTTGAAGCTTTTCACGCACGATACGTTTGCGATCTGTCCGGTGTTTATGCGATACGTGCACGTCGGGGGAGAGCTGCGAGCCTAACCGTTTTACAACCGCTCGACCGCCCGGGCGGCATGAACGTGTACCCGGATCGACCAAGTCGGATCCTCCCCGCAGCAGGGGGTGTCTGCCTGCGAATCCTCTCCGGCACACGATCCAGAGTTGCGTCACTCTGACGGAAAACTGCCCCCTCGGGTGCCGTCTCTAGCGATCTCCGCCGTTGATTGGCCTTTCGACCCGGAGACGCATTCTGGGCCGTCCATTTTGTGCCGTTCAACAGATGGTGGACCCCAAGGAAAGCAGTCGGGAGAGCCGTAAAGTCACCCAGTCGAACACGAATTTGCCGGGTCCAAAT